TCTCCACGGCGGCAGAGCGTGACAGACAGAAGGTAGGCTCCATGAATGCGTGGGCTGCGTAACAAGGAGGACGGGTAGGAGCCGATCGCGCGGGGCCGGGGCCTGGGCCCACATGAGGAAGGGAAAATGGCGGCCGCCACGTGGCGACGAGGGAGGTGGTGAGGGGAGCAGAGATCCATGAATCCATGGGAGCTGCCATCTGTGGCCGACTCCCTTCCTAGACATGGAAGAGCAGAGCCTTGCTAATTGGCATAACTTTTACCCTCGTGTGGGTATGAGTCGTTGACTGTGGCAAGCAACAAGCCGATTCTGCTATGGGGTTAGCCGTCTCCCTCTTTTTTGGGTGTTTTCTTGTTGATTGGTTTTTCAGGTTTCTCTCCCTTTTTTCCTTTTAGTAAAGCATTACAGCCCAGTTCTTAATTTTTTATTCTTTTTTAATTCCGCAGGAACACAGAAGCTGAAAGCATGAAGACGTAGTTGTTAAAGATCCTCTTCCCAGAAAGTATGTGTCTGGCTGTGTCTAATAAGCTCTTCAGAGGTGAGATTTAGGGCAGGAATAATACCGATTTAATAATTTATGTTTAACGATTACTGTGACTTGTACTTCGAAATCTAGGTATCATGATGTTTTGTTTTAAGGCATGTTTCATTTTTATGTGTTTCCGGGACAGAAAAGTGTAATCAAGTGCATTAGTGTGACCAGGAGGAATTTGGTTTGGATGCAGAGACATTAAAAAACATAATCCGCTATTCCTAGCATAAAAAACACACTGCCCGTACTTTGCCTGCCAGACTAGAAGTATCTGAATGCACAGATTTCTCAGGGATATCCTGGGGAAGAGGAGTGTCTTTTTTTATAATGTGCATGTGAGTACTAAGAGAAATCTGCAGCTGTGGGGACAAGGGAGATTAGAAGTTAATGCCAACAGTTTTGTTTCAGAGCAGCTTTACAACTTCTGGGAGCGCATCCTACTGTTTAGTGATGATTGCTGTTTGTGTTTCCAGTAGCAATATTAAATTGCCTCAAAGTTGGTTTTACAGGGGAAAAACTCTCTTGAAAGAAGATGGGGCTAAATTCCACATATGAGTTCTAGGAGTAGCTGTGTCTAAACTTGTTCATTTTCAGTTAGGGTAGGGTGGATATGTTAATCATCTGGAATCAATGTCTTTTGGGAGCAGTAATATTTCTGGTTATCAGGCAGAGCTAGTAAAAGCTAATTTTAGTCTAGGTCTTTATCTCAGTTTTTAAAACGAAGTTAAAATTTGGAGCTTTAATGAGAGCTTCTGCAATCCATCTCATCTTGATGAAGAGGGGCTGGAACCCAGCTTACTGTGCCTACTGTTAGCTTTGACTGCTATACAGACAGATGCAGTTAGGATCTCATTGTGTGCTGCTCCTCTCTTTGGGCTGCCACTGGGCCTTAAGCTATTACAGTACTGCTTTTGGTAGTGGAGTGGCTGTACTGCACCCTCAGGGATGGCTCCTCTGCTCTCACGTATTAGAAGGGTGTTTCAACAAGTGTACCTGTGCTGCAGAAGCTGCGGGTAAGTTTTTGAAGTCTGGAAAATGAAAGTGGAAAGTCCAGCTGTAATTTTGGTGTCTGTGTGAATGTAAAGTCTTCGAATGTATGAATAAGTCAATAAAGAGACATGACTGGCTGCAAGTGTGGTTCCTTTCTTGAAAAACTGCTGGTGACTAAGACTTGACCTACACATGTTTGTCAGGATTACTTACACATGCCAAATCTGCCAGTTCTGGGGTTCCTTTTGGGCAGAATCTCTGGTTTCAGGTGGCTGATGGATTGTCTGGGAACTGCTCCAGAAGTGGTACGGCTTGAATCAGAGGTGGGTGCTGCAGGGCAGAAACAACAACTTTAAATAGAGTTGATTTTTGTAGTTGCTGAGGGATCCCTACTTGAGAAAATGGATAGAGATCCAGTAGATGGTGCATCATTGCATACTCAGATGAGATACTTTAGTGTACTGTCTTAGTGAACACCAGCTGTGCTGGGACAATCTTGTGGAATACCTTTCAAATAATGTGTTTTTTGCAAATAGTTAAAACTGGAAAGTTGGAGGGAAAGGGAGGGTTTGAAAGGACTGGGAAACAAAATCTGTGAGGCCGGAGCTGAGACGATCAGCATGCTGTGTACTTGCTGCTGGGTGTTTGGCAGCTGAGGTCAGCATTCCTGCTGGAAGTGAAGGGAGCAGAGCTGTGGGCTCTAATTACAGTGTGCACTAGATCTGAGGAAATGACTTTCGGTGGTTGTGTTTGGTGGTGGTGTTTGGGCAGATTAGAGCTGTCATAGGAAACTCGGGGGTTTTTAAAGCATGTACTTTTTCTGCCCAAGTGGACGTACATGAATATGTTTTCTTGTGTGGCGCTGTAACAAGTGATAGCACACATGTTTAACTGGTGGTGCATGGTTACTCTGCTTTTAGCAGCCCTGTCTCATGGCTTACTGCTCTGCATTCCAAGGTGGTGCCTGCCAAGCCTGGTGGCCAACGATCAGGAGTGTGTACTCTGAAATCTCTTTATCTCCAAAACCACTGGACCTCTGTAATAACCTCAGCACATCTGCTCTGCAAGGGCACTTACTTGCTTAACTTAAATAGGCAAATGCAAGTGTTTTCATGGTTTGTGCCACCCTTAACACAGTTACTAGACAACTTTAAAAGTGTAGGATGAACTTAGGACAACGTAACTGGTTGGAGTAAAGCACTGGGAATGACACAAACTCCTTTAGGTTTATATTCTTTGAGGAAGATGATTTCAAGAGTCCCCTTAATAAGGTACAGCTTATGTGAGTTTTACCCAGCTGATGTTCTGCAGCAGCTGCCTGTACATCTGTGGTATTAATTAACATACAGAAATTGTAGTCAGTGTGGCAGTTTTTATTGTATACATGTACACCATCAGGCTCACTGAACAAAAATGAGAATGGCATTAGATGAAGGCAATTTCATTTTATGTTAGAAACTGAGAAGACATGCTCAGCATGGAAACAGTGCAACATTTCAAAATCTAACAAAGCATTCTATTAAAAGCAAAAATAACAAAGTATCTAAATGTTTACTATGCTTGGTGTGCAGGTTCAGTTCCCCCCCCACACACAAAGTATCCTGTTTTTGTGGTGCAGCTATTAAAGGGTGATTATGTCCCCTGTATATAACACGTATATATTGCACTATGTAGCCTACTTCACCACAAGTCTCAATGGGTCTTGTACAGCAAAACTTGGATGTTACATGCAGATACTTTTGACAGACTGACTTCCCTTGTAATTAAGGGCTATATAGAAGTAAAAATGCAATGGTTTTGAAGTTGACTGGCACAGTGTTTTGCATTGGTCTAACAGTAGGTGGTCACAGTACAGTGATTTATGATGTTTTGAAATATTTTACACTATTTCAAATAGTGTGGAATTACAGAGAACTAAAATATATTAAAGCACCTCATGTACTAGTTTAGCACCAGTTACAATAATTAGTCCTGACCCTTGAAAACTTAAATTTGAGGTTGGCGATATTAAGGGCTAAATGTTCAATCTCATGGGCTTCAGCAATGTCATTGCCACTTCATATACAAATGAGTCTTGGATATTTGTTATAACACCAGAGAGACACACAACAATATAAAAATGAATAATTGCCCACTTAAAGCATGAATGCAAGCACCCCACTTTTTCACAAAACACCACACAACACAGTCATATCCAGTTTGGGGAATACGAAACTGGGAAACAGTCACTGGTGGTCGCAGTTTGCACAATCACGATGTGGTGACACTCATCTGCCACACTTGTCACCCTGGAGTGTTTCATGGCCCACAGCTTTCAGTTGTTTTTACTGTGATGCACAGAGCACACTTGGACTCGGCACGGTCTTTGACCTGTGGATTGTAGTGTGGTGGCTCCCTCCCCAGTGAGTCAGTTCACAGGTGATTTCCAGACTGATGCCTTTCAGTGTTACAATAAGGTGATTACCTGCTGTGTTCTAGGTTTGGTGGAGTGGCCCTTCCTCAATGGGACAGTAAGCTGGTTATCAGTGCATTTTTTTAATAAATTGCTAGGGATTTCATGGCATGGGGAACAGTATATGGAAATGTAATTAAAGGAAATTAAGATGTGTCAGTGCTTTAGAAGTCACTGAAAACTAAGCTTTCCTGTGAGATCAGTCTGAACCAGTGTTGCAGCTAAGCAGGAGAGAATTATCTAAATCTTGCTTTACAGAAAACATAGTTTAAGACTTTAAACTATGTTTAAACTTTTCAGACAAGTTTTGGCTCAACAACTCCATTGTATGCATAACTTTGTCTGGTAGGATTGACCGAGGTTCTTGGCGCTGCTTGAGCCAAGCCCAGCCGTGAAAGGATAGGGATGTCTGTTAGTCTGACACTGTACTGACAGCTAGTGGTAAATAGAAGAGTGAATCTTCAAAATGCTGTATGTACTCCAAATTGTGAATTTCAGAAATAGGACAAATGCTACCTAAGTGAAGTAAATAAGTTGTTGCTCTTGCAGTTGTGCAGGATGTTGTGGGGAAACTGTCACTGTACTGCCTGTTTTACCTGGGAATGTACTTTAGGCACACTAAACTGTGAAGACATTTAGCCAATTAACTGGGAATGTGATAATTGACCATTATTTTCCTTCCTGCGTTTAATATATACTCAGAATTACTTATCAAGAATCAGGCTATGAATGGTCTCAGAATCTACTGAAACATGAGTCAGATTTAGCGGACTGAGTGTAAAATCATAGGAACAATAGACTAAATAAACTAGACTGAAGATTAATTGAGATCTGCAATTAATTGTAGAGAAGCCTGGAGCATAAATAGCTTGGAGCAACAGTCTTGTGGGCAAAGCCTCCAGCTGTCCTGCTCCAGTATTAACTCTAGCTGGCTATCACTTTTCCCCTTAGATACATAGTAGCTTGTTCATGCAATATTTAAACTTCTGCAACAGGAAGGACAGTAATCCCTAACTGGAAGGCTTGAGTGTATACAGCTTGGATTTAATGAAAACAAAACACATGAATCAGGCAAATGTCTGTTTCCACCCACTGTGGGCCCCAGCTGTGCACTGCATGTGCTGTTCAAGTTGTCCTGCCTCAAAATTTGGTTTTCATTATGGGCATTCATAGTTTGGTCACACTTTTAATCCAGGGTACGAAAGATGAAACTTTTGTGTAGACACCTGGGGAATCTTTGACCCCACAGCCGTAGCCCCAGGAGGTCACACCGTACACAACCCAGCTTTCCCCTGGGCGTTCACACATCAGTGGTCCACCGCTGTCTCCTTGGCAGCTGTCCACTCGTTTCTGTTCCTGCACGTTTCCAGCACAGAGCATTCTTCCTGTGAATCTCCTTTTGTAGCGCTCCTCACACACCCTCTTGGGCAGTAAGGGGATGGCAGCCTGTTGCAGTGTTCTTGAATAAGCCCGTCCTAAAAAGGAGATAAAAGTTGTCTCGTTACAATGGTCAGTCTTGGAAACACAGTTGTGATTTAATCCGATTTTTGCTCTCAAGTCTTCACACTGCTTTGCCATTACATAAAATTTCCGGGAGCAAGACTACTGAAAAAAATCTCTGCATTACATATAATATTAAAATATGGTAGATATTGTAAATGTAAAATGTAGATGCTTTTTTTAAAAAGTAGCTTTTCTTCATGTGTTCTCTGGATTTTTCCAAGGATGGGGTTTGGTTTATTCTGAGCACTTTGCCTTCTACAGAAGACCATGCGCTTTAATGGAAGCAATTTTGGGGAGTCTTGAGCAGCTGAGAGTAAAGCAGTAGAAATTCTTTATTTCTGTGTCATCAGTTCAAATCTAGTGTAGCTCAGCCTGAACAGGTGCTGCATCTTCTGGTGGCTTCCAAGTAGATCTTTCTACTTTTTTTCCATATCTTGCACCTCTTTCAGTTGAAAGCATGGGAAATGAAAGCCACTGTTGGCTTTACCTTTCTTTAAGTAAAATCTTATCACTTGTGAAGCAATTATGATTCATATAGTAAGTGTGAAATGTCAGCTGAGGTACTGCAATGATGTAAATTCTTGCTATAAATTGAAGCCAATTACTGCAGTGGTTAATGTTTCCTCAAATAATGTCCTAAGTTAACAGTATTGCAGGACTTTGAGTGAATTATGTAAAAAGGCTAGACAGAGCTAGGCAATGAATTAACAATTGTTTTAAGCAAAACCCCACCCTACACATCTCTCATTCATTGTGGTACAGTGACCCTGACATCTGTGCACACAGATTAGTGCTTGTAAAGAGGAGGGGCAGATACTTGGCCTTGCCTTGTCTCCTTGGCAGTTCTAGTGAGTCACTGGAACAAAGGCTCAAGTGTGGTTGCTGTCTTGCACTGTATTCAGCACCACAAAAAGATAAAAGTAAAACATGGTTATTAATTTGTGAAACATTTAAAAGCCAAAGACCTTTGAAGAGGAAGAATCTTGTACTGACCAAGAAAAAGCAAGTAGAAGCCTGGAGTGCAGATTGCATTGAGGCTCTTGTAAATTTTGGCAAGATGTTCTGTTATTTAAATCAAAGCTGGTTGAAAATGTCAGTGGTAACAGGGAACACTAAAATGTTATTTAAAATTCTGTCGTGCATATTTTCCATCCATTTTTCTATTGAAGTATTGTAATTTCAGTAACCTTTTTAAAATTAAAATATTCATGGTCCTTATCTTTGAAACCTTACATCTACTAGAGCTGTTATGTACTGAGGCAGGGGGGTGATAAGCTGCTGTGCAGGGTGTGCCTGGCAACAAATAAGCTTTTTATTCCTGCTTGTCATTGTTAATGAGGCCACTTTACTGACAGGGTCTGTGATTTAGAGTGGCATGGTTAATCACTGCTTGGATACAAATACAAACTATAATCAGTAAACAAAATACTGTCATTCCTGGTTAAGGATCAGGAGAGAAAATATTTGCCTATGTTAAAGAAGAGCAAAATACTTTCCTTTTGAGCATTTTGTTCTTTAATTATTTGAAGGGTTTTTTCTGAAACCGCCTCAGATAAGCAGATTGGTGCGTGGAAGTGATTTTACCTGTGTCACCCCATCCCGTGATGAAACAGTTGGGAGCGGTTTTCTGTGGTCGCTCCCTCCTCAGGGGCAAGCAGGCGGGTAGCACGTGGGTGCTGAACCTCGCACACTGCTCCTCGGGCCCCTGCAGCCTCAGCAAGGCAATGTCGTAGTCGCTGCTGTCAGGCCTGTAGTCCTTGTGCACCACAATCTCCTGCACCCCGATCTCCTCCTCGTACTCCTCCAGCACCAGCGTGTGGTAGTCTCCAACCCGCACCACGTAGTTGCGAGTGTTGTTGCCGTACCTGAGATGGAGGTGAAAACAAACAGGGCTGGCTCGGGCAGAGTCACATCCTGAGCATGCTGAGTTCATCACTGTCTTTATTGTTCACATAACTAATGTTAGTAAATGATTTTTTAAACAGCAATAATGCTTTCTCAAATGTTTACACTGACATTTCAGTGTGTCCTAAAGAATATAGAAATCTTCTGAGGTTTTAGGTTGTGCCATGTTCTTTTTGAATATTTTCACAGGGCAATTTTCTTACGGCCATTTGCCATGACTGGCACTTCAAATGTACAAGGTGTGCGTTATAAATTTATTTAGGAAGGGTGACACAAATTGCCAGTAATTGCAATGACAGCCTGAGTACTGACATCACTGGGATTCTCCAAATAATTACTGGAATGACAGTAGTGTTCAGGCCTGCTTCTTGGGTTGATTGAGGAACTTTAGAGGTGTAGGTAACTTAATAAAAACCTCTTACATCAAGTGAAATTATAGTAAGGATGGCAAAGTATTTGTGCATCACAAGCACAAACTATTGTCAAACTGATAGGAGATCTGTAAATCTTAGGCTTGTTTTGCATCTGATATAATCCCAGTTTCTTTCACATTGTGGACTAAATGGTAAATACATTAGAGATTACTACTGTGGCTGAAATAACAATTTTCTGTGCGTGTCTTTGAAGATGTATTATGCACACACCTTCCCAGGCAAAATGCAAACATGAGAGTACTGTTGGGTACATGTATTTATATTGAAATATGGCTAAGCTAACAGAAATATTTTTCCTTTTATTTCTCCCTTAATAGCCTTCAACAGGAAATTTCTAATGTGCTTGGAAAAAATAGTACCCACAGTGGCCCATCGCCTTTCAACCTATGCCTGTTCTTTTTATACCATCCAGCAATGTTCTGGTCTGCATAGCTTGTTAAAGCCTGCTTGAGGAGCAGCAAACAAAGCAGAAAAATTACAGTTTTCTGCACAATATATAGCTGTACCACTGAATATTTCTTCTAGTTGTGGGTTGCGTTCCTGCTTGCCTGGTTGTAAAGCTTTCTTGGTCTAATCCTTCAGGTCTTCCACAAGCAAAATTTCTCTTCTAGGCTTTATGGAGAAAACTGCAGGCTGTGAACGGACATCCCTTCATCCAAAGATGAACTTCTATATAGGATACATTAAGGGTTTTTTCTGATGTTTCCTCATGTTTCTAATTATCCAGTTATTTTTTCTAAATGTATGAACCTTCCAATTTCCCTATAGCTGTCGGAATAACTCAAGACAAGGATGAGTTATAAAACACAAAATAGCTTCAGACATTTTATCTTAAATAATGTATCTCAAAATAGCTTCAGACATTTTATCTTAAATAATGTATCTGCCAAAGTATAGAAACCAATAATTCCCCTGTAGTACTGGTGAATAATGCTAATAATCATGCATTAAATTAAGCTTAATTTTTATTCCTAATATAGATGAGCCCACATTGGTTACTTAAGCAGTGTTCCAATTTCCAGGATATGAGAAATGGTATACTGGCCTTTCTGTTGTCCATCTGTGGAAAATATGTGAAGAAGGCACTTGATCTATAGATAGCTCTTGGAAACCTATCCCTGAAAATCACTCTGAGATCATTTGGAAGTTCAGCCCAGCCTGCCCAAAGCCAGCTTAGAGCTACAGGCTTCCCCCATTTACAGTGAAGAGTAGTGCATCCACCAGGTGTTGGAGCTGCATCCTTAGGTCTAATTGCAGTTTAAACATAACTTCTGGGACAAAACAATACTTCGGTCCCTGAGGCCACAGGTGACATTTCAGGGCAGCCTGGGACAGCCCCTCGAGCAGCTGCACCAATCTGGAAGTACCACAGTGTCCTTTGCTCCAGCCATGCTGCTGCCCCATCCTGTGGGTGCTTCGCAGAGTATCCAGAACTGGCACTCTTTGGCACCACATTCAGTTTTCAAGCCTGTAATCAAAGGCTTTCTCAGGATTCTCAGGCAGCATCCTTGGCAATCACTACAGAGAAAATGAACAGGGGAACAGGAAGCCATAGTCTATGAATTTTGACGAAAGCAACTTAAGAGCTTCCATGGTTCTGCAGAATCACCTAGGACGTCAGTGGAAATAGCAGGTAATTTTACTAACTTTGACTACTTCAGCTTGAAATGTTGCCAAGGAAAGTCCTCCTTGATTTTAGGACACAAGAAAAGATGTGCATCTGGTGTACAGCATAGGTAATGCACACCTGTATTTGAGTAAAAGTGTATCTGACTTTTCATTTTTGTTACTAGTGTACAAAATTAAAGGCTCAAAATCCAAATTTAAAACATTTGCAGCTCACTTGAGTGAACTCTAGCAAATACCCTCAAAATTGTAATGCTCCTCTGTTTTTTCCCAGCCCATTCCAATGAAATAGTCACTAATCACAAGATTAGCTTCCTTATTGTGCAAATTGATGCTTTTATACTTCAGTAACTTCATCAGTAGTGAAGTCCTGCATTTAGTTACTGCTGTGATACAGTGAAAATGTCTACCATTGTCTGTTGTTACCAAATTTAATCTAAAATATTCCAGTCCCTATGTTTGGTGTCTGCTCAGTTGTCTTCACTATAATCTAAAAGCCATAAGCTGCATTTTTTTTTTTAACAGAAAGTTAAAATGGCTGAAGTGTTAGCTCTAAAATACTGAAGTGAATATAAATCTCATGAATGATAACACCCAAATAATTTCAATGCATTAGGGTGTTTTGTTTGTTTGAGGGAAAGGAGGTTGAGCAGTAGGGTTTTTTAAAACCAAAGGCCAACTCTTGGCCTTTCACACCCATGGAACAGTTTTCCATGGGCTTGAACTGTAATGGTTTTGCATATGCCCAGAAGAACAAAGCAGTTTCAAACATGGTGCCCTATTGGAGAGAGACCCACCTTTTAAAGCAGTGTGCAGCAGTGAGGACCCAGCAGCTGCTGATGAGAGTGGCACCACACAGGAGTCTCCCGTCCCCATGAGAGGATTTGAGGCGCAGTGCCACCTGCCACGGCCAGCCGCCCCTGCAGGAGCGACACACGGGGCTCAGTGTACAGCTGTGGGCAACTCGGCTTACCTGCAATGGGCATCCCTTTGGCTGTGTTTGACTGACACAGCTTACTTACAAAATGTACTCTTTAGTAAGGATGGGGAATATTTTATATCCTGGCAACATTCAGAACTCCTTTTAACAATGGTCCACATTACTTTACAGAGAATTTGGGCGTCCAGCACTCTTAAGTGCTTCCTCCCACAGTCAGCTATTTGAATTTTCTCTTCTCAGATTGCATTCATTGAGTCAAAAATACATTCTGTGGGTTGCTCGCCAAATACCGTCCAAGTCAACAAACCAGAAATTTCCTGTCAACTGCAGAGGGGAAAGGGGAATTTCTTGAAAAGCTGAACCCAGCATCCATCCCTGTCTTCAGGAGAAAGGGAGGTGGCAAAACAAGAGGTATAAAGTGACTGTAGAAGTCTCAAGTATAGAGGAGCACCTTTCTTCAGCCTGTGATTATCTGTTTTTTACAGCAGATCTGGCCATATTTGCATACCTGTGAATACAGGATTATTTCTATTTTGCTGGTTTAATATATGAGGAGTCAGAGAAGAGAAAGGGAGAGAGATGCACCTATAAGCAATGTCAGCATCCCAGAGTAAGCAACAGGTGGTTTGAGTGTTTTCTGAGTCCTGTCCACTTGAATGGGTGTGCTGGAAAACAAGAGCTGCCAGGGGCCATTTAGTTCAGCATCTCAGAGTTACCCTTGCCAAATGTTTTAAAGTGAGGTGGAGGAGTTTACTTCCCATAAAGAATAAAACAATTTAGATACTTCTCCATTTTAGAAGGTAGGATTGAATATGTTTTTATAAAATGAGGTGATTTAGACAGCTTTGGATTTGCTGGTACATATGTAAGTATCCAGTTATTTTCAAACTTCCTCAAGTTCCTTGTCTTAATGATTTCTTGTAACATTGAGTCCTTTTCTGATACATACATATGCTCCCTTTCTTGAATTTGAAGCATTTCTGCATGCACTGTTGGATTTTCATCACCTTTCTGCTTCATCTAACATTTCTGTACTGATTTATGATGAGACCAGCTTCTTTGCTCTGACTAAATTGTGCAATACATTTATTTGTCACTGTTGCATTTCAGCAAGTGTCCTTAGAACTCATATTCTAAGGCAAGAATTCTCAGTCTCCTCCTGTGCTGTGCATTATCTGTTATCTCATTTGTCTCTTTACTAAGGTAAGTCATCCTACTTTACTTTATCTGGCTGTGTTAAAATATTTTTCTGGGCTCCCTCTTGTTACTGTTCTTTCAAGCTCTCCCACTTGGGGAGTGTCTTAGAAATCGATTGATCAGTGCTGTACATGTGCTCAGAAACAGATGGCACCATGCTTGTAATGATGCTGTTAGTGTATTTTTTACAATGCCTTTTGTAAGGTTGTGTAAATATATATATTTTTTTTGTGTTTAGTCACAGCTGTTGAAAAAGTAAAGTCAGTGCCTCCTGAATTTTTAGTTGTGTCATCATCAAGGCTTATTTTATGAAAGAAAATAAGGTCTTAGGCTGTGAATCATATTGAGGCCTCTTTTTTTGGTGTAGGTGGCATTTAAAACCTTGTACTACATTCATGTCCCTGTTTTTATAGCTCCTGATATGAAGACATCCTCTGAGAAAAGTAAAATAGCTATTTTGTAAGTTTAAAATTTAACCCATTCACAGACTTTACCCACAAGATTTTCAATTAACACTGCAAGTACTTATCAGTTAATACCTTTTAATTTCCTGCAAATTTGTTTTGGGTAGATTTCTATTCCTACATCATGACAAGTCAAACGAAAAACAAAACAACAAGCCCACAATAAAGCTGTAAATTTGGCAAACCACTTGTGGCAAATACATCTATTAGAAGCTTTAAATTATTTTTCTTTACCAATTATTTACCGTAAAGAATTTTTCCCACCAATTATTCGCTTTTGTCGACGATGGAGTAACCTCAGCCCACAAACAGAAGCGAGAGAATCTAAACCAGAAAGGGAGATGTAGAGAGTGTTAAACTCAACATGGAAAGTGGCCAATATTCAATGAGAGGTAACTTGAAAAAAATCTAAAGGTTGAAGTTATTCTATGTTTCATGGTAGTTTTTAACAGGCAAATTTTGATTGGGGAAAATAGACTTAGGAATTCTTTATAGCTGAGATCTTTTGACTGGGGAAAATACACTGAATTCTTTCACTCAATTCTTTCAACTTAGAAATGCTTTGTATCCGAGTTCTTTTGACTGTGGTCAGAGTATTCACACATTTGCTTCTCACATGTAGGATTTTATAGGGCTCTTCCTTATTTCCTGTAAGTGGAAGCAAGCCTTGGCCAACCACACAGATCTCAGTCCTTACCTGAGTAACCTACACCTTGAAAAGCTGAAGGGAGCTGCTTAGGTTTTTGCATCATGTCCCTCAAGCACCTTAATGAACATGGTTGCTCTAAACCATAGCCACAATGATTGAGTAGTCCTGGTGCTTCCTTTCTGCAGCTGCAAAGAATAAGCTCACAGTGTCAGCAGAGAGAGAATTCCCACCCCTTTTGTTCTAGAATTGTTTTTGATAAAGCTGTTCCCTCTGTGAGGTGGGATTGCTAAGTCTGTCTCTTCCTACCAGGAACTTGCTCACCTGGACCTGTTGGTCTGCCCCTGGTGCCAGGGCCTCACCTTTATTGCTGTTCCCAGGGACTTTCTTGCTCAGGTGCTCACAGATGACCCCTGCATCCTCGCTGTGCCGGCAGTTGTGCATCCCAATGTCCTGCTTAATGCAGTCTGCCAAGGATCTCTCATTTCCTGTACACTTGACGTTATCCACATGGATGGGGCCTTTGCCCTCACCGAAATAGGCCATTGTCCTTGCTCTAGCTGGGCCTCTGCAAACAGAACATTTTTTTTTTCATTGTTAAACATTTTGAGGCATTATTCTACATTTTACTCAAATTTCCAAGTGAATAGTCAAAGACACTGAGGTTTCATTCCAAACCCTGTCACTGTTTCACTTGCTAACAAGCACCTTCCACCACCTCTCTTATTCTGGTATGTAGAAAAAAGAAAACTGTGACAAAATTGCTACATTTCATTAATTTTTAAAAACTGCTTTTGTGTATCTGGTTAGAAGGCAGTGTGCAAAGTATTTTACATTGTATCAGCATTACATTTTGCCATAAAACAAAATATGTGAAAGCTGCTTTTTCATAATCTCTTTAATCCTCGTATAAACTCAGCATCTGTGAAAGCTAAAAATAATTTGTTCAGGTCTGATTCCCTCAGAGAGATGGGTCAGTTAAATACAGTATACTTGCAGTGCAGTAGGAGCAATGATGTACAGACCTATCAGTTGTTAGTAGTTATTAAAATATTTTATTATCATGTTTTTTACAGGGCACCCCATATTTGAGGTCGAAAAATGTCATGTGACTGGACACCAGTTCAGTGTCTGCACCCCCCTGTTCTTGGGAGGAACCCAGTACTTGGTGCTTTTGCAGCATTTAAGCATCTCACTTGGCAACTCCTGTGATAGAGTATTACTGTTAATTAGTTAAAGTAATCTTCTTAATTTATAAATAGATATTTTGTTGTATATGGTTTAAGAGGCAGAAGGAATTATGAGTGAGAGACCACCCAATTGGCTATATGGAGAAGTGGGGCAGGAAGCCACAGACACCTCTAAGCGTGCCTGAACTACAAGTTTACCTGCTGGTTAAGAGCAATTCACTGACATTTTACTGGGATAAGGATATGTGGAATTCCAGATAATTAAAATACAGGTTTCCATTTTAAAGGATGTTTTATAATTGCATATTGTGAAGTATTGCTTCTGTGCATACAGAACTGTAACTGCAGATGTGATGAAATGCTGGAGCAGAGAAAGAGAATTTGACTATGAAACTGTATTAGGCAAGAAAGTATTTCTCTCCCTTTACAGCTCTTTTTGTACCTCTTTAATACCTGCAGTGTTGGGGAAGGTAGGTGAGAATGGCATGGAGAGTTTGCATCCCTTCTTGAGCTGGGTTTGGTCTTTTGGGGAGGAATCCTGATTTGTCAAACCATTTTCAAAGCTTCCTCACAGCAGAAATGTGACTGGCTCAAAGTGAACCAGCTCTCTATTGCCACATCCATGTAACTGAAACATGAACGTAACACAGGAGCTTCCTCCCTTTTGAAACTTTTGCACGTGGATAGCTTTGCCTGTGTGGATTTTTTTACTATGTGCTGAAGGGTAGCTGGGCAGGATTTCCAAGTATGGAGCATTGGTTAGAATGCAGAAATTGTAAAAAGCCAGGAAAGAGAAGCTCATTAAACACTACGTGGGAGACGATACCACAAGGTCAACTGTCATTACATATTTTCAGTTTCCATGGTTAGGAGGTATTTGCCAGATAATCCAAAGCCTTAACTGCCTTTGGAACCAGTATAGGACAATCTCTGCCTAAGGAGTTTACTATGATTTGACTTGTCAGTCCCAAATAGTGTGACTCTTGCTCCAAATGTTTTTCTTTTGTGGGGGATACTCTGATTACAGATAACCACAAAAAAAAAATAAATCCAGCTCTCTGATACCTGTGGGCAGCTCATGTGTTCATGTTTGCTGTTACAAAACAGTGACACAGTACAGGCACTCATTGTAAATTCTTACCTGCTTTTGGTTTCTCTGTCAAATAACAAAGTTTCTGCTTTAGGGCATTGTTTTAAAGTTCCTCAGGATATTGAAAACTACTTTGTTATCAATCACCAACCACAGTATTCTTATCCTTCCCCAGAGAAGTATTTATTGCAGTCTAGTGCAGAATTCTCTCTCCAGATCTTATCAGTTACTTAGTAAAAGGGCACTGCCTCCTTCTTCCTACCTTTGTATGGAAACAATCTATCTCTTACTGTGCATCAATAATCTCTCAGTTTGCTGATAATGGGAATGAAAGCTTTTCAAACCCAACCAACCAACAGCACCACAGAAAACCCAAACCAACCCCCACTGAAAAACATCTCAGGAAACAATTGTAAGAAATCGTGGTGTTCTTGAGCAAGGAGTGCAGCTTAATAGAGGAAATTATGTCATATAATTGGGAAATCTCTGAAGGTACAAATGCTACATCTCTGTTTTTGTTACATGCAGGAATGTGCCCTTACAACTGGCTTTAGTGCACCCCTAACAAACACGTGTCCCTTAACTGCTGCTTTCCAAGGCAGCACTGATGACCCTCAGAGAAACAACCTTTCTGTCAGTTCAGATCTGTCCCTGGACAGAAGTGGCTTCAGATCTTTTCCTCTCACTTCTCCCACACCAAGGGCCATGCAGAATAACAATGCTGAGCTTTTCAGATGCAGTACTATTATTACTTTTCATGATATTGTTAATGAGGAAATTAAGTGGATTAGGATAGATGGACACCTATCCTAGAATTAACAAGTTAGGTACCTTTTAAGAGTGATATATTTACTTGTCAAGTTTTGCCATTTTGAAGCCACAGTGTAGTACTGCTTTTAAACAGGCTTTTACTAAATGAATACTAGGCAGTTTTTACAAGGTATATATTGTGTGTTCAGGCATAATGTGATATTTGGTTGGACAAACTTCACATGGTTAGATACAACAAACAATATGATTTGTATTTCTTCAGCTCAAATTTCTTTCCAGATACTTTGGAGATGACATTTCACTAATTTCCTATTGTATTTCACCACTACCCTGGGTATTTTTCAAGTCTTATTAGTACTGCTATTTATATATCTCCCCTATAGTTATCTTTTTGCTGCTCTTGGGTATCCAGAAAAAAAATGCTGATGACTGGTGTAAGCCTGATTAAGTGATTTCTTTCAAAAGTCACACATACATTGCAGTGGCTTTAATTAGAGGGTGGGTTTCTTCTGTCAGGTCTATTGCTTGTATTAAATGAAGCTTATTGAAATTACTGTCATGCAGACTGGAGCCATAATCCCTTGTGTAACAGTTTCATCAGATCTTCGAGCTACATCAAATCCAGCCAGATCAGTAAAGGAAGGAAAAACTCCATTAAATTAGGAATTCAGTAGCTGGTGTGCCTGCATCTGAATCTGCAGTCATCATATCCATGCCTTGTGACAGTGGACACTGACTGGTTTTGAAACTAATATGACAACTAAAATTTTGTATTTAATTAATAGATTCAATAATTTGGAATGTTTAACTTAGAATGAGAAGTATTTAATAACTGTCACTAATGCGCATTTTTGTTGCCAGTCAGACTGACACACTTCTGAACACTAACATTCCCATTCCCAGTTATGCTACTTAATGAACATTCTTTTTGAAGACACAGCCTTACTACTTTTCATACAAATAGTAGGAATGCATTTTTCTAAAAGAATGCCAAACTGACAAGTTTTAAAAGACATACATTATCTTATGAGACCTGTTGTGGTATTTGGTTGCAGAAACTTAAGATTTTTAGATACAGAAAACATAACTTGACAAGCAGCCTAATGAGTTTTCTTACTTGTAGCCAAGCTGTCGGCAGACTACAGCTGCATCCTTATCAGACCATCCATCATCACAAATTGTGCCCCACTGGCCATTGATAAAAATCTCCACACGTCCTTCCTTCTTATTCTCACCATCCATCAGCCTGATGGGAGGACCTGGGAATAAATTACTGCTGTCAGCTCACAGCAACAGAGGCAAGAACTGGTACTTTTGGTTATTTTCATTATAATTTAGTACAACTGATATTTACATTCAACAAGCCTAATATCAGTGGTTAAAGTAGTCATATTCACCCTGGCTGGCAAAATGAAGCACTTTGTACAAATTACAAGACAAATACTAAATACTGCCCTACTTTACTCTTCAGCTGATTCCTTAATTCCAAGTCAATATGTGACATAGTTCAAAAATTGACCACAATTCTACACAAATGGTAGAAAACACCTGAGATACCTTTGATACGATACCCACACAAGCTGGACAGATTTTCCTTAGAGACACTTTATGGGTGAATGTAACTGTATCTCATTCCATAAATCCATTCTCAAACTGGTTGCTGCTGCTCCTCCTAACCACTGTCTCAGCAAAATAGTACAGCATTGTGTTGAACTTGAACTATTCCTCATCACTGCACATTTTTCTGCAGCACGTTATTCTACATTATTTTTCTAGTAATTTAAATTGATTGTTTAATCAGATACTTTCATAATATGAAATTTCAGTTATGTGGATTAGTCAGACTTAGTTGATCATGGTTTCTGCAGTGCTTGGCCTCTAGTTAAGTTTTCACTCATTAGGCAAAGTACATACTTAATTCTTACTTACTCTGAAATGCCTCTGTAGCCTGCAAGCAATGCAAATACCCTTAAACAGTTATGAATTCCTCAGTGGCCTCTTTGTCATGTTCAAGGGAGGATCACCTTCTCAATCTTTTTGTATAGCATACTTGGTAATCTTTAATATGCTCATGAGAGTTGCTTTTTAGAATAATGGAAAAGACTCTTCCTCATTCTTCTAACCTGTTCCCAGTCTTTTCTAAATATGTGAGGATGAGGAATTGCTTAATGGCACTCCTAAAGCATTATTTTGAGATAGCTGCATTTGCTGTTTAATTCAGATTAATTCAGGGTATGCATAACTTCTGTATACCAAACACAAATCTGGTCAGCGCTAGTTAAATCTGGCCTAAGTCATTAAATGAATGCAGAAGTATTCAAGTAAGGAACATCCAAGTATGTTTGCTTGCAATGTAATTTAAAGTATATTGTGTTGGAGTTCACACTGTATGGACAGTTCCATGGATTAACCTCACCAACATTCTGTTTACTTACGCTGTTGTGATCTTACTGAACAAATGTCATTACTGTAGTATATCCTATCTCCTTTGTAGTGCTCCGTAATATCTGTGTTTCCTTAAGTCCTATCATCTACTAATTTCTCTTTCTTTCCCATTGAATTTATCCTTATGGGAAAAAATGCTTTTTCAAATGCTGGGAAGTAAATGGTGACAACACTTTGTCCACTTTCTGATTAGAAATTTCCTAGGAAATGTCAGATAAACTCCTCTTTTCTTATTCAACTGATATGTTCAGGAAGAATACAACTTAGGTGAAAATTATACTTCTATTAACCAAATAGAGGCACAGAATAGTACTAATGTTTTATTGTTATTTATTTATTGTTTAAGTAATGCTTTATTGTTATCTTCTTGTGGTTTAGAAAACATATATATATATATATATATTTATTTATTTATTTATGAGCACAAAACTAATATAGCATTCTGGTAGTGGGGATGTGAGAATGTGACCATATGGATATATTTAACTGAACCAGACTCCTTCAGCAGAGATATTTTATAGGAATTTGAGCAAAGTGGCACAGATGGTTTGCATCTGTAAAGACAGCAGTCATGGACTGAACTTGTGTTAGTTTTGGTTTGAGAAAATTCTTTCTAATAAATAGGATTTGATATATGTACTGCAACACAAGACATTTATTGGATGCTGAGAGGGCTACATAGAATAAGCCTGTAAAGAGGGAGAGACTCAGAAAGTACGTGTGGAAGTGCTGAATGTTGTTCTAACAAGTAGCAACTTTGTGCAGTAAAACTATGTTGTAGTTTGTGGGATAAACCTTCAGTCTGTGATTTCAAGGAAACAGGCATATAATACCAATTTCAAATTCAACAGAAATAATCTTGGGTAAGCTAAATGGCATTGGCAGCAGTTTTCTAAAAGGCTACATACTGACAAGCTACACACTTCCTGTAGCAAATTGTAAAAATGAGACTTTTTCAGAATTGCTGTGCAACCCATTGTTCCCCTGTAGTTTCTACTGCAAATATCTCACAGCCAGCATTATTGTTTAATTATCTGCATGTGGATTTAGGAATCTTTGAAATTTACTTGTTTCTATTTTATTGTGTTTATATTTTTATCACTGGGTAATTGGTATTTTTCCATCATTTCTTATCAGTCTTTTTTTTCTCTTTATTTTCATACAAGTTTGTAGGCCTTTGACATTGGAAGTAACTCTTTTATCTGGGTGTGTGGTATCATTCTGTCCTGGTCAGCAACAAGAGCTATTCACCCAGACACAATGTAAATGATAGGCAATAGTAACACAGAAATAATTTCATGCTTCTCACCCTACCTTCTTGCTGTCTCTGAACTTCCCATCTTCTCCATATCCCTTGTTTTGGATTGTCTGAATGCAAAGCCATAGGAGGCTGTACTATTGATTTTATTCCTCAGTGCTCAGGTATGTCTAGAGCATTTGACACCAGGCATTACTTGGAGGTTGAGAAGTGCCAGGTAAAATCAGGTGTATATATCATGAGGTGCTGAACAGGTTCAGAATCCAGTGGAGACTGAGACAGGGGCATCACTGGAATGTGACTTTGTTACCTTGCAAATCTGGGTTGAGCTTTAATGTTCTGGATGCTTACATTCTAAACAAAACTTGATTACTTCCTGTGATCTTCAGGAGAAAAGTTAGGTTTTTTCCCTTCCTGTTCTTTCCTTGCACCTATCTGACAAATACTAGGATTTTGAGAATCCTTAAGCATCCTGTACTTTGGCTGGATCTGTATCCACAGCAATACTGATACTGTGACTTCAGCAAAGAGCTTCCTTACCAAGTGAGCGCTTGTGGCTGTCGTTTTCTGGGTGGCAGGTGAGTCTGACGTCCTCCTGATGGTTGCAGTCGTGCTTCCCCCACTCCCGCCGGGAGCACTGCAGGAGGTTTGTCTCCTTCCCAGAGCAGATCACATCATCCAGCCAGATGGGCCCGGAGCTTCCCTCTGAGTAGTTCTCTTTTTCCATACCTGCAGTTTTTCCATACCTGCACAACACAGAGGTATGTTCTGGTCCCCAGTGATCAGAGGACACTGATCATGATGGACCATGATGCTTAAGCATAAGGAAAGAAAGTGATATCCCCGAGGAAACAGATTTCTCAAGTATTCTCACTACACAGGTTCAATTAGCATTAAATTCAATGAGAGCACCATATGCTGCCTCTTCAGTAATGTTTTTTTTTTAAGGAATTACTGTTAGATTTGTTCAAACTTAAGAATGTAATGCCTTTGATTAAGGCTGCTCTTCAACCAAGCATATGGCTGGCTCAGTGACTCTGAAGCTTTAAGTATGTTCTTAGTATTCTGTGTACATTTAATAGTCACACTCTGAGACAAAATCCTTTTCTGAATGTCAGCTGTCACAGCTTGAAGGCAAGATAACAGCCACCTACTGAGAGTGTATCTTTGTAGCCAGAGAGGAGTAGGAAAAGTAGAGAAGACTGAATGCATGAAACAAATGGGGTTTTTCAAAATGCTTTTCAACACATAACTGTTCTAGGGCCGGGCTGTGGGAATTTCTGAGGTAGTGCAGAAGTACTTACACCTTGAAAATGTCTGTCATTAATGACTGTACAACAAGCAAAGATTTAGAAGAAGCAAACTTTTATAGGGAAAATAGAAATCAAAATCAGTTCTTCTCTATAGCACATGCATTGATCTCAGCCCAAAAGAGAATTGGAAGGAACTCAGTGAATAAAGGCTGCTAAGTCACGCTTGTTGAAGGCTTTTCTACCTAACCTAAGGCCTACATACCTCTGTGAAACTGAGGAAAGCAGGCTTTAATGGATTTTAACTTGGTGGCTTCTTTGAAGCACTCAGCTAATATTAAAAAGCAGCTCTTAAAATAGGGTCCATGTAGGGTTGATGTAAGTGTTTGTCATCATGCTCAAGTGACAGTCAGATATCCAATATCAAGTAATCTTACTTAAATCCCAGCTGCCAGCAAACCACCTGCGTGTTGAGCTCGGTCCAGCCGTCGTCACAGACGGTGCCCCACTGGCCGCTGTGATAGACCTCCAGGCGGCCCTCGTGGCTGCCCTTCCCGCCTGCAAGCCGCAGCGCCCCATCTGTGCCCGGAACGGGGAGAGCAAAAACAACGATCACTGTTTCTTACACCTCATGCTTGTTCTAAAGCAAAATCACTAACACTGCCTTTACTGCATCCACTTTGGGTTTGTGCCTCTGCAAACTTTACAAGCTTTTCCAGAGCTGTGAACTCTGCCTTTGTTCCATTTTTTCCTGTGATGATTGATGACTGGAGTACCTGTGAGAGGTGTGCAGGAAACGCCAGCATCTTCTTTGTGGCCACAGTTGTGTTCTCGCCAGGAGCTTTTTGGGCACTGTTCTATCGAGAGTTCATTTCCCGTGCACTGGACTTCATCCAGCAGCACGGGGCCAGAGCCTTCTCCAAAGTGAGCCTGGCTCCACGCCTTGGCAACACCCCTGTGGAAATGCAAGGAGCACCCAGTCAGAAGGAAGCAAGCTGAAGATTTTCCTTTCCTGTGCCTTTGACTTTTAACTTTCCTAGGAGAGATTACAGATGAACAGCTTGGGTATGAGGATTCTAATTGTAATACTCATTTAATATCTGTATATAGTAAAAAATAATCTAATATCTATTCTTTCTGAAGTTCAGCAACGTTCACCTGTTGTCCTCAAAGCACATTAATCAAATACCCAGATAAATGTGATTGTTCCCTATTTAGTCCTGTGAAAACCACAGCAAAAAGATCTTAAGTGACTTGACAAGTGTCATATCACCCATCAGCAATAGAAGTAAGAACAGGAAGCAGATCAATGGCTAGCCTTGTATGGGGGTATATTCTCTGTCAGCAGAACAGGTTTTGAGCACAAAAAACTATGTTGATTGAAAACACTCCATTGTTTTAGAATTACAGAAATTATGCAGCGTTTAATCCCTTATCATCTATTAGGATTTTCCCAATTCTATTTCAAATATCATGTCTTTTATATATATGTGTCTGCCATAGTTTGATTTCTTTCCACTCAGTATTTTCCCTGTTCCTATATTCATTCTAGATTGAAATGTCTAAAGTTTGGACTGTAATGATTTACCTATCTAAAGCATTAGTTTAAATTAACTAAAAAAGCACCTTGTTTTTCAGTGTATCTGAAAAAAAATGTTGGCAGAAATGTATACAAAATATTAAGGAAAAAATCCTTATTCATTAAGCAGCTGGCTGAAATCAAAGAGATAATGATGGAGTGCTCTGAATGCTTTTACAATTTATACCATATTCCCTTAAGAGTTTCTGGAGCTAGGCAGAGACAACACATCCCATCATTATAACCAGGGGAATTTGTGTCAAGCAAAAAATTATTTAGGAAACCAAATAATAAAAGACGTTGCCATTATTCTTCACCTATTAATGGTAGATTGAAATTCTGGAGTTTTACAGGAGTACTGCAGAAAAGTTGAAGGGATGTGGGAAGCTATTTACTAAGAAGCTTTACTTTTTACAGTTTCTGGCATGTTTCCAGATGGATTAACAGTATGCAAATTTGGATTATTTTTAGTACTTCAGAATTGGTCTACTGCCACTGTTGGTAAGTTGATTTCACTTCATATTAATTAGCATGTTTGTTGTGACATCTTGCTTACTTGAGAAATTCTGTAACTCTCTAGATATATTTCAAAAAGACTAAGCAGGTTTAGCACCATCTTAATACAATTAATTTGCTCAGAAAAATCAAATTAGAAGCATCACAAAACTGCAGTTTGTGACGATTAAATATAAGTAATAAAAAGTTTTAGTGTCACCAGGAAGGAGGCAGGCTAAGAGCATTGCACTTGTCATTAGTATACAGAAATGCAAAACAGGGCTTAGTAACTCCCCACACCTATTAACAGCAGCCCAATTCAAAAGCAAGAAAAGCCTGCAAGAAGATAAGACTTTCCAATGGGTATTCCCAATTGAAAATGTGCAGGAATATACTAATACAACATAAAATAAGCTGGGGGGAAAAAAAAAAAACTGATGTCAGAGAAGCATATCGGTTCCTATGCTGGCTCAGCAGGGAATCTACAATATTTTAACTAGTCCAAAGTTCTCATCCTTGTGAGCTGATTTGGGTGGCATGGGCAGCCCAAGGCCTCAGTTACAAAAGAAGTACACTCTGGGAATCACCCATTAATGCCACAGAACTTTGACCTTCAATACCACTTCTTTCACTTCACTGTAGTCCCAGCAGGCTTGAACAGGCAATTTCTGTTCCAGCCTCCTCTGCATTTACCTGTCTAGTTCTCCTCCAGTCTGTCTCAGACATAATCCCCTTCTCCTGCATGGGATACAACCCAGCATCTTCTCTGCTCCTTGCTCCCACTTCTTTCCCTCTTCAACCCTACTGGCCTTCCATCCCAATTGTCCTCATCTCCTTCCTCTCTGCTCCAGCAGTCTTCCTCTTAGTCTCCCACCTCTGCAGCATTTTTCTGCAAATACCAATACTTATCTTCCATGGGGTATCAAAATCCCCTCTGGCTGTTAGGAAAGTGAATTAAGAAAATCCTCTTCTGCTGCTGTAGCCGTATTTCGGACCATGCTTAGTTCAGACAGAATCATTGACAAGCTTAACTGTCAAAACCTCAAACAGATCTCTAGCTCAGTATATGCAAACTGAAAATCTTCAGAGATGCATGGTTTAAACAAATCTAGAGATATTCTCACCAGCATGCCAAAAAACATATCCTTCCTGACAAAGCAGAGTTCTTGTGCCAAAGCCAGGAGGCTGTCAGACTCTGCAGTAAAATGAATTGTAAGCATTCAAACAGTCAAACATTTATTTTCTTCACCTACAGGTTTGGATAGAAACTTTACAGGAATTGTAGTGAGTTTTCAGTAGAAAGTTAACATTTATTCTGAGACATTCTTTATCTGTCTGGCCAAACAGACAAAACTGGCCCTCTCATATGATACTGAAAACTGGTTCCAGGGAATTGAAATTACACAGTACCTGAATCTTCTATAAATAAACTAGTTACTGCTCCAAAGTATAGGTATGATTTTAAAGGAGCATTTTTTGGACAATTATGCTTCTCCTAGTTTCTGCTGAGGGTCTGATAACTCTTCTGCTTTGCTGCTGGAATAACAAACATGTAGAAAAACAAACCCAAGGCCAAGCTGCCGACAGACAACTTCAGCATCTGCATCATCCCACTGGTCATCACAGACTGTGCCCCACTGGCCACCATGGTAAACTTCCACTCTTCCTTCGTGGGCATTGCTGCCACCAGCCAGCCGGATCGGAGTGAGGGCAGGGCCTGGCAGCAAACACAGGGTATAGAACAGGTCACTCATGTCCTAAAATACCATTCTGATAGTAAAGAGGGAGGAAGATGGCTTAATGGTTCCTCTGACATCACATTTTCTTTTTTCTACTAGATGGAAAACCTGAGAGTAAAGTGAGTTCCTTTATGCTCCACTCTCACTAGCTGAAAAAGCTTACACATACAAGTAAGCATATTGATCTTGAATTACCCAAGTGTCACAGCATTCACACACACTTAGTGCTGTAAGGCCAAATACTGATTCAGTCAGGAGAGCTACTTTTCTACAAGTAAGAGCAAAACTGGGTAAAATCTGAAGTAAGAGGTAAAAATTATGTGATGGACACAGAAATTAATCCTTGGGTTTTCTCATTCCATTAGAAAATGCGGTCAGAGCTGTGAAATCTCTTTGACTGTGGAGTTTCAGTTGAATTGTGCAAGTATTGTTCCCTGCTTGCATCCAGTCTTTTAAAATTAGTAGCTCTCTTCTGGTGTACCAAGAAACTGTCTTGAAAGCATCACTGCTAAATAAATGTAGAATAATGGAAATAGTTTAAAGCCATATAAAACCCCATAATTGCTGTGATGTGAACCAGGTTATTTTAAAGTTCCACCATATCTAACATCCAAATTATTTAAATTTGAGTAATATTTGTGTAACTTTCCAGCCAATTAATGCTACTATTTAATTCTTGGTTATTAAAAAAAAAACCCAAAACAACAGTACTGAGGTTATTTCTCCAATTTCATATTAGTGTATCACTGATGGGGGGGGGGGTTTGTAAGTATTTTAAAGGCTATTTGCAATAGTACCTGAAAAATGTGAAAGCATTTATAATTTTCAGTTTCTTTAGGCAAAACTCTCTTGTTTTCATTCTTTAATTTGTCTCTTACCTTGAAAAGATTCTCCCTTCCCTCTACTCAAGAATTTTCTAAGACCAAAATTTGCTTTTAAAAGCCACTTAAAAACTAAGTAGGAGAAGAAAGGCAGCACAGAACTGGCTGCAGCCACATGTTTTGGTTTCAGCAGAAGAGATTGGCCTTGCCAACTCCCCAGCACTGCCTGCTAGCCCCACTCGAGGCACCACTATCTTACATCTGATAGTATGTCTGCCCATTTAGTTAGCATCTTGATTAAAATACTATCAAATACCTTAAAAACATTAATGATACTTGTTTTCCTAATAATATAAGTTTGACATTAAAAAAAGTGGGGAAACTGTCTTCATTTTACAGTCAGAGATTCTTACTCTTTCTCACAACCTACATCTGAAAGAAACAATTGTTGTTGATTAGGAAGGGTAAAAAGTTGTTAGGCTAGGTGCTGCTTGAGGTATTTGGAGTGGTTAATAATGCAATTATTCAATCTGTATAATCTGTTCCAAGAAATCTCAACACTTTTTCTCATTTAATTACTGTAACTATTACAACTTCTACTTAAATAAAACAAGGACTTGAGGAAAACATATGTATTTTTTTTTACCCAGGGAGGAGCTACATGTGACAGCAGCTGCCATTTTTTGAGGACATGTCCCATCTTGCCAGGTGTCTTTTTCACATAACAGTATATTTTCTTCATCACCACGACAACGCACTTCACTCCAGAAAACAGGAATAAGGCCTAATCCAGAAAAGGGTATGTGTTTTGCTGTACCTTTTTCCCTGTAAAAATAATCAGGATATCAGAGTGGGAGGGCGGAAGTGGGAACATTTTCTCATATATAAATCTTGGAGTAGAAAAGAAAGGGCTTTCTTCAGTAGTGTAAATTCATCACATTTTCATACAGTTGACCATTGTCTTCTGCACAAAGAAAAGTAACAGATGTGACCCAGTTCTCACCATTTTGTTGTGGGATATTTTAGTACAATGACTGTGTTGCTGCAGAGCCAGCTACATTCCTGCTCTCCCAGTTCTTAACTACAAAAACTACACAGACTCCACAGTCCATAGGTGAATCTATAGTACCAGCCCACTATAGTTACACTTCCAGGAGGGGTAATGCCACCAGGTCTTTGTCCCTTATTCTGTCCTTTCCTCCATGCAGACATACCATGCTCTGCCCATAACTGCCTTGTATTGTGGCTGTGATGATGGGGCAGTGCCACCACCTCACAGTCCATCAGATCAAGCCCCCATCCATTTTCCTCAATTCAGCCATTCCCATCCACCCAGAACATTTTATAAACAGCTCTCTTTTCTTCTCATGCTGGATCTACAGCAACATTTATAGAGCCATCTTCTCTTCCTTGCAAAGCACAATGAAGTTAAAACAAAGCCCAAACATGGTGGTATCAAAGGAACAGATAGATGGAGCACCTGAAAAGCACCAGTAATGCCTCCTGAGTTCACCTGGTGGTACAGAGATCCACATTTCTGTGAAACATTCAAGACAGCTCCAAGTTTTAGCTACTGTTTGCTTGGGGCTTTTTTGGCCTGGGTTCAGCTTTGAGCCATTTCTGTTGAAAAGACAAAACCATTCACCCATATTGCTGAACTACTTTTGCTAACAGCAGCCTCGTTCAGCTGAAATGTTCAGGGTATAGAGAGCAGATAGGACTCACATGAAAATGAGGGAAGGAGCCACTGCACGTAGACAGCTGAAGTCATAAGCAAAATCACAGCCTCCAGATGGCTGAACTTTTATCTCATCTAATCCTTATATTTTTATAAGTTGGCATGGTGTGTCCAGATTAGTATTGAACATTATAAACCAGCTTAGATTTAGTTCTGGCTAGCAGTCTTAAAAAGTGGATTAATCATTAGGAATGTCACAGAGCAAGTCTGCTTTAAAAGCCCCTTACTGCTTGTAGCAAGCAAAACCAGTGCTTTGGTATGTGAGTGAAAGAAATGTTAGAAAGGCAATAAAGGCAGACACATTATGCTGAAGGGTGCTGTTGATTAACTGCATTCTGGCAGCAGTGGGAAGTAATGGTCAGCAAGGGCAGTGCAGGGATTTTCAGCCTGTCCAGTATGGCTGCAGCTCTGAAGTGTTGCCATTTGCCAAAAACGTAGGATGAGTTCCAGGTGTCATTTGGCATACTACAATGGGTGATTACTAGGATAACCCATTGCCCCTGAGAATTAGGAATTTTCCTGTGATTAGGAGCCCATGTAGAGTCTAATCCTGGCTCCATTTACATTGTTATAGATTCAATAACCTGACTGGAGCTGTTAATTTACACTTAGATGTGTGAGATCAGGATCAGACCACGTAATTCTGTCCATGTGGACATCTCCCAGATGTCCAATAGAACAGTTTGTTGAAGCTTGCTGCCCTGTTCACACATTTCACTTTGAAAGCAAAGCATTTGCCACAGTCTGCTCCTGTCCAGATCCTATCTTCAGCTTTCTGAGGAAATACTGATTTCCTCTTTGAAGTGTAATGCGGCTGAAGCCAGCAAAGTATTCTGGGAAGAACAACTTCAGCACTCAAATACATTCAAACAGAAAAAAAGCAATCATCACAACACAAAAAGCCCCCAGGATTTAAAAAGCAGATTGTCCTTTATACTGAAACATCATGAAAATGAGTTGACTGGTTTTTACTTGAAGTGAGACTTACCCAAGTGCAAGCTGTCGACATACAACTGTCGCGTCATTATTGTCCCAATGGCTCCCACAGACTGTTCCCCAGATTCCATTCAAATAAACCTCCACTGTACCTTCAAACTCATTCTTGCCTCCCCGGAGTCTCACTGACCCTGGTTACCAAAAATTAAAAATAAAACAATTACATCTCCAAGATACTCTATTGCTTGGTTAATGCATCCCACACAAGACTCTGAACTTCATTTTCCCTGAGTTCTTGTTTCATGGATACTGAGCTGTTTCCAAGAAACATTCTGGCACACCTAACATTCTCATATAGTGATACACAAATTAAGAGAACCCTTTTTGTACATGAGGAAAGCATTATTCTCCCCATACTGAAACTGCATCGTCTTTCTGATCCTTCTGATGCTATAACTTAAAGATCTAACAAAGTACTTATAGACATATAATTATTGAAATGTGATTTCCTCTACCCAAATTGAGCAAAACATATATATGTATGTGTGTGTGTGTATATATATATATATACACACAGTGTGTGCATATGTATATTTCTATTTGTATAAAGTATGCTGTACTTTTATCTTTCACAAAATTCCATTGACCTTAAGAGAATCAGAAAATAACCACATGGACTGCATAGCTTTGCTCTGCCCCCAGTTCCATTCTGCATATCATAGATGACAGCAGTTCATTTTAGCCAAAGAATGCGTTTGTTCATACTTTTCTCAGACAGAAAAACACTGCATGTAGTTCTATTAATTCATGAGAGGTCTTTACCAAACTCTCAGACAAAGCAAGCTAAAAACCATAAGGAATTGTCTTAAAGTAGTGGGAGGGAAAAAAGTTTTTCTTGAGAGCTACAGAGCACAGAAATCCAGGAAAATTAGCAGATTTTGCATTTTTGTATTACAGTAGTTTTACTTGAGATGTCAGATGTATCTACTGTTGAAGGTAGCCAAGTGGCCCTGGCAAAGATGGGAAAAGCTGGTTGTAGGGATAGCTACAGAGAAACAGAGAAAATCATGACAGAGCAGTAATTCAACAAGAAACATTTCTGTTAAATTATCAAAAACAGCCCAGCTATATTCAGACAATTCATATTGTCTGAAATTCCAGTTAATCCATCTGCTTCTGTTCTGTGATCTACTTAGAAGCTACACCATCATCCAGTCTGCAGGTGTTTAGCAGTGGGATGGAGACAGTCAGTGTTTGTGCCTCTCATTTCATTGTGTCTGTGTTCATCTTTGTGTAAATAATAATAATAGGTAGATCCACTTTTTCTTCTCAGCCTCTGTCCTGGGTTTAGTTCAGTGTATTTTATAAAACCACAAAGCCAAACAACTGCCAAATAACTGAAGGAATTAATTAACCTCATGTTTGGCTTGGCATGTTCCTTTTTGCCTCCTATTTACTTTCTCAGCAGTAACTTACTGTGCAGTAAACTACAAACAACATTTATCTGACTCATGTTACAGAGTGAGCTATCATTTTGAGAGAGGATTATTTGAGTCAAATATAACTATACTGTAGACATGTTGCACATCATTTATCTGTCTTTAATTTTTTTATCTTTGTGTTTTTTCTGTATGTCACAGACAGACAGAGTTTGGAATTCTGTTTATTTCTGCTCTTCACCAGACTTTTGTATAGACTATTATTTTCACTTGAAATATCAACTGCACTCATAGCAAAGTGATTCCTGACATACCAGAAAGCGAGTTTGAAGATGTCATCTCCAAAAATAAGTATATTTTAGTGCATGATTGCTTACAGTGCTGCCTGACACCTACTGAAATCAATACAGTGCTTCCTGAGTACACATTACACAATGTTTCTATTCAAATATTTGAATGAGGGAGTACTTGAAGAGTAAAATTTTCTTCTAAAGTCTCCATGGCAGAATTTGGCTCACTCCTCTTTCTGTATTTACAGATTTCCCAATGACAGTGGTGGAAGAACTTAGTCACATAAACACAGCAAAACACACAAGAGGATTGCTAAAGGTAATTTTGTAACCAATTTTAAATATTCTTGATTTTCACCTGATAAACTAATATAGAAAGAAATAAAAAGAAAGCCTATTTCTACATGTAGGTAATATTAAACCTGTCATTTAATAGAGGCAACCAAATATAATGTACATGTACTTTGAAGTATGTATCAACCTCTGTCATATGACCAAGTCATAATTATATAGCAAACATATCAAAGGTACTAATGAGAAAATTATTTCTCTGTTGTTTACTCAAAATGTTGTGGTGTTCAGACACCTGGTAGTTATATTACCAGATCAAGAGATACATTAGTTACAGTAGTGATACCTCATAAAACAGAACCTCAACATCAAGACTTTCATTACAGTAGCTTTGTTTTTCTTTCCAGTATGTAAAACTCTTTCTTCATGATGAAACACAGCTCTGTGTTTCCTGTGTCAGTTGATCCTAGGGAATTGCAGGATAACAGCATCATCTGCCATGGTGTGTGTTTATGCTGCACTACCAGCTATCTCTTTTTGTGCTAATATTTTAATTGCAAGATAGTCAGTGTTTGCAGTGTAAAATTGCCAGGAAACACTTTTTCACTTCATAGGAAGCAAGAAAGCTAATATTTAGCATGATTGAAAGGATACAGGTTAATTCTTATTTTCACTGGTTAAGTCTACTGCTGTTCCAATGTAACACCTCAAGCACCCAAACACGTGTCAGGGGCTTCCTTTGTGCTGCCCCTGGAGCACCACAACTCTGCAGAGGAGTGTCTGCATTCCCTCTTACAAAACATGTCTGCCTTAAGTGTATGCACTGGAGGCTCTAGGTTTCTGGAGTCAGAGGTACAGTAGCACCTCAGATTTTTAAGCACAATTTTTCAGCTCTTTTAGTTGCTGAACAAAACTATAAACCATTGGGAGTAGAACTAATGCAGTAGTATCTACTCTTTCTGCTCTCCACCAGTTCAATATAGTGTCAGACCTCTGCTTAAAGTGCTTATCAAACCTACCCTGCCTCAACACAAAGCTGAACAACAGGAACAGCAGCACCAGGATCCTGCCCATGGCTCTGCCCTCCTCAGCTCTGGTTAGGAAGAGGGAGAATGAGGAGAGGTGACCCCACAGTAGTTAGAAACCAGGGCACAGGACATAAAGCAGGCCTGTGAGACAGCTCTAGACATATACTGTGCTCTTAGGACAGACTTCATTCAGCCCTTTATCAAAAAATACAATCTGCTGTCTTGACAGAAATGCCTTCATTTATAAAAATGAGTATAAATACTCAGAAAGTATGTATGGATTTACAGTAATTTTGTTTTAGCTGAGGTTACTGACGGTCAATTCCTGTTGTTTACATACAGTCTAGTAATTTTAGTTGTCCTGGTATCTGCCCAAGTCAGACTCTTTCCTATCTGCTATCACTTGAAAGGAGATTAAGTTATACTTGCAAATGAAAGGAAGTAAGGGTATCCAGTGGGTGCTGCTGAGACTTGCTCCAGAACACCTGCCATATAGGCTGAAGATGAGACACTCAGGGAGAGGAAAACCACCCAGCCAACTTTTAATTAACTCAGAAAAGCAGAAGAGCTTCAAAGGAACTGCACTGTTGTGCTTGGCCTCTTTTCCTATACATTCTCATGTGCAGAGTTGCTGGGTAACTTCAAACTCTGTTTTATTTTTTATGTTTCACTGGGAATGAGCATTGTTACTGTGTGGTTGAATTGCAAATAGGATGGGAATCACTTCCACTTCTGCTGTGTGTGTTAGTGCTGCAGCAGTAGTGTTTATGATGTTGGCTAAAGGTGTGCCATAGTTTCTTGGTATACACTGTCCAAAGGTTTGCAATTTGGCTGTAAATGTAGGCTGGGAAAATAGGAATCAGAAGAAAAAATTGCTTGTGCATTTCACCCTGGTGCAGCATGCTCTGAAATGGCAGATTTAAACCAAAGCAAAAGTAGTAATTTCAATTTTGGAAATCTGTAAAAACAACAAATATTTTTATTTCTGCACTAATATTCAAGGTGTTCCAATGTGGAACAGTGCTTCAGAAAGGCCCTGCACTGACAATTCATCTCAGTTGTCTTGGAGTCAATTAGGTCAGTCCAAATTGACATCAAGTGTGAGGGTCTCCCACTGATACATGCTCTGTATCCCATGGGATCACACTGTTACTTGCAGTATTTAAAGTACATGGGGAGGATCCATAATACATATAAAAGGGTCTATCCCAGTTTCAGAATAAAACTAATTCACTGGTTTGTATGAGGTACTTGTAAAAAACTGCATGTAGCACAGGTAAAACCTAACATTGGTTCAAATCAATGGAAACTTCCCTTCCAGGATCAGGCCTGACTAAACTCAAATAAATTAATCCTGTTACCTTCAGCAAAATTATGCATGGTGCTCACTGTGATCAATGAATGCTATTGTCTATCACTTTCCTGAGCACTGCTCCTAGACTAAAATTACAGTTATTTTCTCCAGGCATTTTAACCTTGAAAAAGGGTGCCTCCAGCAGAACTACTTTTTAAGAACTGTTTTGAGGATCAGTAGCAGTATTGCATACTCAAGGATTCTTATATTAGAACTTTCATAAATATTGTATACACTGAGTGTGTAATGTGCTGCGTTGGTTCCTCTGCAGCACTGAGATCCATCATGTCAGCAATCAGTGGTTTAAAGCTCTGAGAATCTAAACTGGAACTGAGCAATGTAACAGGCTCTGAAGGACTGCAGTTGTCTTATGTGGGCAGAGCTGGAGAAAATGAGGGGTCTCACTCTGTGCAGCTCAGGTAAGAATGGTTCCAGAGGAGCTGCTTCTTAGAACAAAAATATGGGCATTCATGTTCCACTTCTAATCATAAGCTATTGGAAAAAACCAAAGTCCCAGAAGTCATTCCATCAACTGCTTGGACTGTACTACAACAGGTAGGGAGAATAATCTAGTGTTTAGATTATGAGTCTGAGGCTTGAGTCTTCTCTCACAAAAGTTTAGTGAACCTTTATGTGATTGACATTAGTGGAATCACCTTTTGGTAAAAGCAATTTTAATGGAAAGGGTCTAAAGTCAGGCCTTCCTGGAGATGTGTGCTTTATTTCCAGTTCTGCCACTGACCTCTGACAAAGGCACTTAGCCTGTTTTGTATTGGTCCCTCTTCGTAATAGAAAAGCAAATAATTAACCTACTTGATTCAAAGTGCTTTAAATGAGATGTGGAACAACATAGCATGAACAACATATGCACAAAGCTGTAACCATGTGCCACACAAACACTGTGTGGCAGCACCTGCTCCCAGGTACTGAGCTAGGCCTCGTTCTTGGAACCTGAGTATACCACAGGTAAGTTGTTATTAGTAGCAACTAAAATACTAAATTGTGGTGGACATATACAGGCTCTGTGTAGAGAGTATGCTCATATTCATTTATTATCCTCTCTGGTATCCTTGGTTAATCATGATAAGTTATATGTATTTGTATTTCGTTTACTTGCTTTCAAGGCATGAATAAGTAATGTTACCCAGGTATTTTTAGAAGGAAGGAAATGAAAGACCAAAACCTATTAGTTTAAACAGTAAAACTGATTTTAGTCTAGTACTGTACAGTATAATTGCAAAAGCGCTTTAAAAATATTTCATTGTCACTGTTTAAATATAAAACAATTTAATATATGCATAAGGACAAAGTTTAGCCAATTAACTTTGCAGATAAGTTATAATATTTAAGCTAGACAAACCCAGAGATTTACAGGTAAGCCTTTGAATATGGTATTGTATTTAGTTATGGCAGGTGCCTAACACTGAGTATGGGCTTCCTTAGCCCAGGTACTAAAGCAAGAGGTGCAGTGAGTTTCTCTCTGAGCAGTCTGTCTCTCTCTCTCTAGCTATAACCACATCATGACATTGCCTCACTGACATCTTTTTGCCTCTTGTAAGAAAGGAACATACTTCGGGGGGAATGTTACAGTAATCTTTTATTTCTGGACAAATGGCTTGATTTGTGTCCATGTTCCACCTTTAGCCATCTCACAAACTCTCTAATTCTTTCATCTTGCCCCACAGAGGCTTTTGGGCAGACATTGGCCCTGGTGATGCCACTGGAGTTTACCACCAGTGCATGTCCAACGGGAGCAGATGATCTGTCCGTTACAAAGTATTGGCTATTGTTCAGTAGCTGTGTCTTCCCTCCTAGCAGGGGCCAACCTGGATTTCCTTTTTCTGGGGGAACAAAGCACCATTCTGAAAAGACTGGAGAAGCACAGCTAAACCCAAATCATGTAGTATTTTAGTGGGTTTTTTTGCTTAAATCCCCTTCATGCTGAACTTGGAAGGGATTCTGAAACTTACTAAGCGCAAGATTGAGTTCTTAGCAATAAACTACTGTGTTCCTCACCATTATATTAGACTAAGTCCTCATACAGTATTTTGGGAACCAGACTGAAGAATGCTAAGAAAACTATTAATATGCTGGGCTAAATTAGAGAAGCAACTGTGGTACCCTCACTGAAAGTGAGATCAGTTAAAGGGCATGAAATCTTCTGGGGTTTTTTCATCTGTGAATAAAAGGTATCTGTTTTCTCCATGCCTGGTATTCTTCCCAGAGAAACATCTGTACTGCATAACATCATTCTGTCTTCTTGAAGGAGTAGATTTGACTTGGAACACAACTTAGGAAGCTGCATTTTTTGATGTGCAAATGATCAATAGGGACCTTGGTGCCTCCATATCCTCTTCATGGGGTATTTTCTACCAATACATATAATTGTTCAAACTACTTTTTTTTCACACCCCTTCTATGGGTAGTGTTGGAAGAGAAGGATAAGAATCCTTTTCAGTCATCTGAAAGTAAATTAATTTTAAAAAACCCTCACAACACAAAGTCAGCTTTCTCAGTGAACAAAAAAGTAATATTAACAATCAACCTACTTGCTGACTTTGTGCCATTACAAAAGATGTAAAAGGAAGGACAATGAAGCAGGGAATTTTAATTTTCATTTCAACAATTATGCTTGGTCATGTTTAGTATAGCTATAGATAGGACACAATTCTTATTTAGGTAGAAGATAATACCAGAGCAATGTGGGAGAAAATGTGAAATCACTCAAAACCAGACTGTACATCAATTTATTTAATGCCAACACTGATGAAATGTAAAGCTGATCAAGTGCTGGATGCAGAAATTGCTGTTCAGTCCTTACACATTGAAAACTTCCACTGAAGTCAGTGGGAGTTCATCTGGGAGTGTGTGAGGGGAGCACAAGTCTCTTGTCTCAGCTCACGCTGTTGTTGAGCACCAGCACTAACTTGTGAACCCCATTATGCTAAGACAGGGGGCAAAGAAAGTCATACTGTGTAAACATCTCATCTTTGGAGCCAGGCATCCTTCTATTTCTCTTTCTGCCACTTCACTTCTGCAGACAAAGTGTTTTCCCAGTAAGTGAACCCGGTTAAAAAAAGGAATGCCAGCCAGCCCTGACAAACTGAGCCCACTGAACGCTTATGGCGCAGCTTTGAAACACTGTTCACCTACCCAGTATTAGAATAGCGGAGAAACAAACCCAGGCGGGACCTTCGTCTTTCCGCTGCATCCTCTGATGCACGAGTTTAACTCTCCTCTGCGAACAGCTTTGGCTGTCACTGGCAGACGGTGTCCGTCCCCTCGTTCCCCGTTTCCTCCAGCGGCAGGGAACCGGTCCGGGATGGGAGAACGCCGCCGCCCGGCCAAGGCTCTCAGTGT